TGACGAAGAAATGCTTTTTTGGTATTTTTGAGGTTGTCTGTAGGTGATCGGGTAGGAAATAATCCTTTTCCAAAATCTAAAGCACAGGGATCATTACATTTTTATCAAGTGTATGTTTATTCTGACGCGTCAAAGTTGTCGTTTTTGCTGTATTTTTAATTGCAAATTTATACCCAGAATTCGACATTGTTTGAAGCATTTGAAATAACTAGTATTGGTAAAATTCAAGTTTGTATTTCTCCTTTTTTCAACAAAGTATTAAGAATTGTCAAACATTCTGCTTTTTAGAGGGTCCTACTACCCTCATTTTTCTTGAGGCCAGTAAACTATACCTTTACCTTTTAACTTAATTTTTAAATTTTAATAAAGGAATTGATAAGTCAGCTACAATTTATGCTGAACATTCATTTAATAAACCAAAGGACAGATCTAACTATTCTTTATTTTATTTTGAAGTTAAATATATAAGTAAAAGTAATGAAGAGCGAATTAATCATAGAAGCATTCATCTCGGCCTTGAAAATTCAAGCAAAATTTATGCTAGCTTGAATTTTAGTATTTATGGCGGCAAACAGATCCATTTTAATGTTCAAAATAAAAAAGGTCAAAGTGGTCACCTTTATCTTCAAAATATTCTTTGGAACAACAATGATATACTTGGATGTGGATTAGTCTATCCACCATCAAATACGAATAACTTCTCTTATATTTTCTTTACACATAATGGAGAACAAATCGGTAATTCAAAATTTTGATAAATTCTTTTATATTCTCGCAACATTATGGTAAAATTGAATTTTGTATACCCCCTCCTTTTTCCTTACTCAAAATATTAAAAAATTTGTTTACTCGCTAAAAATTCGAGTCACATTCGAAAGAGGCTTGTCGAGCTGATTCGAAAGACCTTCGCTTTGTCCAGGGATTTTTCTGTATCTCGGCCTAAAATTAAGACCGGAGGGTGATTTAGGAGTCATTAGACACAGCTCGACGAGTTCTATAAAAATAATTGATTAACTGAGTGACCGTTTTTTTAATATTTCAAGGAAGAAGAAGAAGGGGGTATACGAAATTCAATTTAATCCTAAGTATTTTGATTTACAAAACAAGGGGCGACAAGATTACGGAATATATGTAAAATCAGAATTTAAAAAATTCTGATTTTTAAAATATTTTGATTTTAAAAATTTAATTACATATTTTTGAACAATAAAAAATGAATTTGAGTGAATATTAAAAAAAGTACCAAAATCTAAATAATATTTGGTTAAATTAAATTTTTTTAAAGGCAGCCCAATATCGTTGAATGAAAATTGTGATGGTTATAAACCATATATTCAAATAAAGGCTTGTTCTTTAGAAACGAATTTTGGGAAGGATTTGAAAGCTAATCCTTTTGTTTATGACTTATCAAAACATATATTTCATAAATATTCCGATTACGGTAAATTATATTAAATACTTATTAAAAAGTTAATCATAATTATAGTGCAAATGCTCTAGATTAGAACGTACTTAATTCCCCCTCCCCCAGTCCGCGATTTAGTTGAAGTAAGAAATGATCAGTCATTTTTTTGATTTTGCATGTTTTCCACTAGTTTTAACTTAATCGAGCAAATCGGGGTCAAAATAGATATCATATGCCTAGAGGGTCGGTCTGTGTCGCAATCTAAAACCCCAGGGGTTTGGGGATATCATGGGGAATGCCCCTTTAATAGGCAAAAACTTTAATAGACCTTTTAGTCATTTTTCTTAATTCAAAATAAAAAAATATTTAATTTTACTTAAAGAAAATTAATTTTTAAGAAAAAGATTTGAATGAGTTAATTGAAATGTTTCCACTAATTACTAAAGAAGGAATTAAACAAATATTGTTGGCAAAAGGAGGAATTAAAGAAATTGTTTCTGAAAGTTTAAATGATATTTTTCCTAAAATCAATTAATCTATTGTTTTTAATTGAAACGAACGTTTTTGAATAAAGTTGATTTTGTTGAGAGATTTACTAATTAAATTATGTCCCTCGAAACCTGAATCCAAAGGCTTTGGAGAACTTAGTTTTAATTTTTCCTTCATTTATTCACAATGATCAGACTCCCACCCACAATTTCACCTAATTTTCCATGTGGCATTCTAAATTAGACATTAACACAATGTGTGCGTTCTGCCTAACTGTTACTGGTACTAATAGGTTTTTTCATCGTATTCCGGTAGAATTGAATTAGGCCAGACTAAAATTAAATTTAAACGGTGAATGACATAAGAATGATGCAAAGCAACGTTTCCCAGCAACCATTGCCTTCTGCAACAATTTAAAGAAATCGGCGATGATTATTACAAAAAATACTCTTTATTGAACAATTAAAATATTTGTAAAGAAAAGGTCAAAAAACAAGATTTAAAAAAATTTTATCTTTAAAATATTATTTAAAAATCTATGTACATATTTTGAATTTCTTATAAATTTCCCTCAGAAAATCCAGCAGCCTTTTTCAATTTCAGCCCATTTATTTGTATTGTTAGTAAAACTGGCACAATAAATAGACCATGAATTGTGCCAATAATTCTAGTAAATTATAAATTAATTTTTATTTTAGGAATACATATCTAGGGTTAAGAAAGTATTTTTGATTTATATCCAATCCATGATATCTAAACTTAAGTCTCATAATTCCTTGATAGTAGTTATCTTCAGTAAATCGATGTAATTTCGTAATACTACTTCTAATCCTCTCAGATCCCCTGATATCCAACTTAATCTCTCTTTTATGACTCTAGATTTGCTCAAATATATTATGATTATCCTAACTAAAGAGTAATATTTAATAGGTAATAAGCAAATAAAGAATTGTATGTATTTAGGTATATGTTTTGTAGTTAAAAGTGCTGTTTTGTAGTTGAAAGTACATATTTTCTTCGTGATCCCTTTAGGTAAAATAAATTACCCTAAAAACAAAACAGTTCTAGCAAACGAAGCAATAATTTCAATTGAGATAAAGAAAAGTGGGAAAATACAAATTATTGTTGAGATAACAGCCTTAATTTAAATTACTTTTTAATTAAAATTATTATACCTCAAGCATAGGCCTACCAACAACTTCAAGAATTTGTTCTATCCTTTTTTCAAGTTCTTTTTGTTCAAAAATTTTAATATTTTTCATAGGGGATTCTGTTTGAATTTCCTTTTGTTTTTCTTGCAAAATATCAAAATGATAACAAATATGAGCTGAGAAATCAACAGAAAGACCGATAGCCATTAATAAATTAATCATTGTAACCTTTAAATTTTTTAAAAATTTTATTTGAGATATTACTAGTTTGGCATTTTCAAGTCGCCTGACCCAGAACCAAGGCTTTCTTTCATACTGATTCATAAACCCGCAAACCTCAAAAGACCTTCATTTTTAAAATATCCGATTCGCGTGCTATCAAGCATAGGTCTACAACAACCCCGGAACCCCTGTCTTGGGAACGGCCCGGTGGCCCGCAAAAGCTTTGCCTTAAATCAGCCTGCGGTCTTTAAAACTTGATTGGATCCGGCCCAGTGGTCCGGAAAGCCCTTTATTGGCTCCAGGCCGGTGTCAAATAAACTTAAAATATATCATTATAACTACAATATTTAAGTAAAAAATTAAATATCTACCGGGTCTATGTCTTGACCGCACCAACCGAGTGTGCCCAACAATGCTTAAATTTTAAATATATTTTTAAACTTTTATAAAATTATTAACTATAAGAAATTGAAAGAACGGAAAAGGTAGCAATTCCTGTACAACGTAATGTGGGGATGACGAAAAAACAGATTAAAGCCATACATGTTAAAGTTACAAAAACTGCTTTGAGCATTTCGGTCTAAAATTAGAAAATAAGATGGGGAATAAATTATCAGATTATTTTCAAGTATAAGTGGGAGGATCAACGACTACACAAGGCTGAAATCTCGAATAAAAATCTCAATCGTTCAGATTAAGATTTTTCGACTCTCAGTCCTATCTCAATTAGGATTACTTTTAACTGTAAGGCGATGTAGGGAAAATGGCTGTATGGCAATGAAATTTATGGTAAGCAACGGTTAATCAAGTAACATCAACTCATTAGCTGTTTCAGTGATGGGTTGCCAGCTTTACTTAATATTCTGCGTCCCTATTTTTAACTTACGGCCCGGTTACTATTATTATCCGGTTACTTTTTTGATAAAAATCTTGACAAATTTCTAGCTGTATATCCTCGAATAATATTTTGATGTATCAACGTTCAAATATTAAGACACAAATAATTGCCCGCCTCAATTAATCACCCCCTATAACGTTAGCTGAAACAATGATTACTTAAGCTATTTATTTGAACACCTTTATTTTGGGTCAACCTGTGCGTTAGTTGGTCAATTAAGGAGATTCATTATAAATATTTACTGTTTTATTTTTCAAATAATAGCTATAAAATTTAATAATTACCTTAACTCCCAAAATTAAATCATAAATAGTTGAATCATAATCAAAGACCGTAACATTAAATTTTGGAAATTGATCGACAATATTTCTTATTTTATCAACAAAAAATGCCCTTTCAAGCCAATTCAAATCTCCTTTATTTATCCAAAATATATTAAATTTTTTAAATTACTAACCCCCGCGAGAAATTCCAAAAACAAAACTGTCAACAGATATATTTCCTCTTTAAATAAAATTTTTTGATAAAAAATAAAATTAAACTAACAATCCAAAATCTCTAAATTGTACAATTCTTTTATCATCCATTCTTCTCTCTTTTAAAAATTGAGGAACAAAAGAATAATTTAGTTGGTAATTAATTGAATTGTTTAAATTTATTTTGGTTTTGTGATACTAAAAATAACTTTTGTTAAGAGGATCAGATATTAAATTACACAAAATTTAACAATACTTTGTTAAATTCCTGTTCATTCTGGAATAAAACTTGTCTTTAACAATATTTCTTCAAATTCCTTCTAAAAATAAAATACCATCGTCACTCGCTCTCATTCTCCCCCCCCCCCGACCTCCCTCTCTCTCCCTGCTTCTTTTCCCCTACCTTCCTGCTTCCCCACTTATCCCTCCATCACAACATCCCTCTCTCCCTGCACACTCCCTCCCTGCACACTCCCTCATTGCATCCATCCTTAAATGCCTCTCTACCTCCTTATTTCCTCCTCTTCTCCCTCCATATCCCTCTCACTTACTTCCAAATATCCATTAAGCCAAATTTGAACATGCAAAGTATTTGGCAAATTCTGTATAATATTAATCATTTTGTTGAAATTGTTTAATTCTATAGGATCAGAAATATTTGGAGGGTGAAAGACAAAAAAAGAAATTGGAGAATGCTAAAAAAATATAAAAATATTTATTTTTCTAAAATTATATTTTACATATTTCATGATTCTATTAAATATTTTTATTGTATCCTGAAGTGGAGAATCGCCAGGAAATGTTCTTTCTGGAATAAAACTGGTCTCCATTTGATTAATTCCAAAATAAGCTAAAATATATGAAAAGAAGAGTAGCACAAATACAGATATTTTAGCTCGAAATGAAACGAGAAATTTTGAATAAAAACGTAGAAATGATGAAGAAAATGAGGATGATCTGAAGATTAATAATTATTATATATTTTTTATTTTTTCGACACAAATTTTATTTTTTAACTTTTTGGAATTCAAATTCTAAAAGTCAAATTTGTGGATGATAGATAACCTGTTATATTAACACAGCGACGCAAAATATAGCCAATTTCTTTCAAAAAATTTTTTATGGCAATGATTCGAATTTATCGAAATGTCGAATCACCACCTTTAGTGGGTTGGATGGGACAAGTTTGGGTATATTGGGAGTTGTTTAGTAGGGGAACGATCCTTAGAACTCTCCAATGAAACTTTTTTTAGCTCTCAACAATCCCTTTATTCTATTTTTGCTTTATTTGCTGAACTGGAAGGAAACCTCACCGTCTTAAATTATGGTGTCTCTAAAACCCTATGATAAATTCATGAATTGTCTTGTATTTCATGAAAAGCATGATGATAAATATTTTTATAAAATTTCAGTGCAATATCTTTTAAATAAAGTAAAAAATTACTTTTACCTTTCCTTTTTTAATTTTATTATTCCAAATAGAGGCCTATTTTCTCTTTTTAATGAATTCTCGTTTTCTTCAACTTTCCATTTAATAAAAGGAAGACAAGGTGCAAATATTAAAAATTCAAATAAAAAATCCAAAAATATAGCAATTGAAGTACACAAGCAAAAATTGGACATTAAAGATGATGGAGAGAAAATACCAACTCCAAAAGCAATTCCATTAGTTAATGAAGTTATTGCTATTGAAGAACCCATTTCTCCAAAAACATTCGCCATTCTTTGAGCAAAAAATATATCTTTTTAAAAATTATTTTGAAATTAATTAAATATCTTAGTTTTTAAGTACGGAATTATAAAGCTAAAAGTAATGCTCAATGAATTATCATCCTCTAATGTGAATTTAATTTTTTAATTTTAATCATCCAACAGAAGGAATTCTATTAGAAGTGGTGGCACATTCTGTTAGGAGGGCATTTAATTGGTTGCGGGGGAGGAGGGGATATTTTAGAAAGCTCCGTTGGGATCATCTTTCAAAGTGGCATTATATGAGAAAAGTTCATTATATTCTAGGATGTTATTGTATTAAATACTTCAATAGATCGAAATTTTCGAGTCCGGATCGTGTTTCCGCTTCCAAGCCAACCCTTTTATATGTATTCTAACTGTCTTGCTTTTTAATAAATCCATTAAATTTTTACCTATTTTTTGATTATTTTCTTTATTTTCGTTTAATTCCTTTTGTTCAATCAAAGCCCATTTTCTCCAAGAATGTATTAATAAAAAAGCATTATCCACTCCAATACCAAAAACAAGAAATGGCATTATGGGCATGATTGAATTAAATTTAATTCCAATCCATCCAATAATTGAAAAAGCAACAGAAATGGATAAAAGAGGTGAAAGTAATGAAGAAGTAATTAAAATAAACTTAAATGAATAAAAAAATTTTTTTTTGATATCCTAACTCCGCCTCAGATCGGAGCGGCTCAGGATCAGGCTCTTGTCTCAACGCAAGCTCAGGAGCCTGCAGAATTATCACCAGAATTATTTATCACCTATGTGCAGAATTATCACCTACAGCTAATGGAAAATATTATTCAGAATGGAATAATTCACATAATAATAACTAAATAACATTTATAAATCAGTATTTTTGATGAATCAATAGATTAAAGGAGATAACTTGGGATTACCAGGGATTAAGGGGATTTAAGATAACATGAGATTTAGGGATTAAGTATTTTCAAATCGTGAGGTTTAAAGTATATTGGTGATTAAGGTGAGAGTTAAATTCCCAGACATCACTATTCTCAGATATTATCCCGTTAATCCACACATATTCCACCCACCAGGTATCCCCCCAAATCCAAATATATCTCTCCAAGTCCCCAGATATCGCTATTAATCACCAGATATTATCCACGTATAAGATATTATTCACAACGATACCTCTCTCACCCTATTTCAGCTCTGATCCCCGATATCCCTTCAAATCACTTTATATCCCCTTCAATCCCTCGATATCCATACAAATCCTCATATATCCCTTTTAATTTCCATATATCTCTCTCGATCCCCTGATATCCCCTCTAATCCCCAAAATCACTCAAAATTCCCCGATATCCTCCATATACCTGTATATTCCTTGAGTACTGGGAAAAATTCTTAATTTTTAAGACGCTAAAGGAGGGGACTTTAGCGCCGCAGGCAAAATTTTAAAAAATACGATGCTAAATTAACAATTTTTCACTATTTTCTAACCAAAAAACTGAATTTCTGGGTAAATCAAATAATTTTCAAATTATTTGATATTTGATCAAATATTTGACTTTTTTTGACCTCATCAAACAAATATCAAATCAAATTATTTGATATTTGAAAATATTTGAAAAAATCAAATTTTTCCAAAAACTCATCAAACAAATATTTGATCTGGTCCGATCTCTACTACATAGGTGCTCCACAATTTCTACCTTGCACATTTATCTTTTAGGAATACAAGAAATATTGAGGCTTATCATCACCAACAGTATGATTAATTTTCCCAATTAATTTCCCAATTAATTACTCTTGAAACAATAATTAATTGTTTTAATAAAAAAATCACTTGTGATTTCCAATTAAAATGCCAAAAAGCCACGATCAAAAATAAAATCATCGCAACCACCCCAATGCCCAACAAACTTGTAATTTTCTTAGCACCCCTCATCATTTCATAATTAGCTAATTGATCAGTATAAATTAAAACTTTGAAAGTTAAATTATTCAAATCCCCATTATTTATATTATCAAACAATTTTAATTCCAAATTATTTAATATTTCCATTTGATTTTTATTTTTATTGTTACCATCAAGTAAATAACTTTAAATTAAGTAATTAACTAAAAATATTTTTAAAATTTTTTACTAAATTCCAATGGTTTCCACAGATTCAATTTTTGAAGGAAACTTTTCAGAATTATTTCCTTGTGCCAATTTAACTCCAAAAAAATGAGAATCCAAAGGAACATCAAAACCATAAATTTGAGATATTGGAAAGTCCAAATTAATTTGTTTATTTAATTTTGAGGTTAATAAGAGTGATGTACTTTGTAATTGATATGCCCATTTAAATGCGTGAAAAAGATAATTCATATCACCTTTGCTGGTCTAATAATTAATACAATTATTTTGTTTCATACATATGCTCGAATAACTACCGCGGAGAATTAGGATTTTAATCTCTTGATAGATGAGATATGTTGGAGGAGTATCCGCTTATAAATACGTATCAGAGAGCTCCCCCGCTATAACTATTTTAAGGTGGTAATATTTTTCACCCTCTGATTGGAAAGGTATTTATTCGAGCATATACGATATTCAAATTACCTCAAAATCCTTTAAACGAACGACTCTTTGACTATCATTTTTGCCTTCAGAAAGCCCCTCGGAATTAATTTCCAAAGAAAGTTCTTTTATATATCTATCTAAAGTATCCACATCTGAAAGCAATTTATCATTCATGATCAAGCGTTTGTCTGAAGTTTTTGGTTCCAAAAAGATCAAAACAAGATCTACTCCGTCTTTAGAGACATTATAAAATTCCGCAAATGCCTGCAAATAAAAAATTTTTTTAATTTTAACAAGCATATGTTTGAATTTTAATAAACATCTAGTTTTTCAGAAAAATGTAAAAAAGATCGCCCCAATTTTGTAATAAAAAAGAAGTTTTGAATTAACATTCAATAATCTCTCGGGCCGAGTTTAGTCGGTCGAGAAGCTGGTCAGGTTGACGGTTCCTGGGGAATCTCCGAATGGTACTCTTGGATATCCCATCTCAACCCTAGTCTGAGTGTCAGTTATTCCTTCATTCTTCATTAATGTTCCGGATTTGGTTTCATTTGTAAATAATGATAGACATGAAGATGCAAAGATAACTGGGATACATATTAGGAGGGTGACAAGGTTTAAAAAGTAACCTCCGAATATCTGCCAGAGTTATTGCCATCATCAAGTCAGGCTTTTTCGATTTCGGATATCTGTAACCAACAACCCTAGAAGATTGTAAGGACTATCCAAGTCTACTTTAGTTAAGAAAAATTATAAATTATAATTCTACCTTCGATTCACTTGTTGCCCTTCCATTTTTTGGGGAAAACCCTCTCCTTACATCAGTTTCGACTTTAATGTCATTAATTAAATAATAAGATAATGATGGGAGGAATAAAAATAAATTTGTTAAAAAAATAGTTTTGGGCCTTTTGCCAACTATAAAACCAATTTTTCGAAATAAAGATGATAAACTCATTAATAATCTACATAAAAAATATACATATTATTTATTTTTTATAAATTTAGATTAATTAATTTTTTAAAATCTTGTTCCGAATAATGATTAATTAATTAAATAAAATAACATTTACATTGTGTAAAATAATAATATAACGATGGAATAATATTATTCTGGAAAAATTATTAGGATTGGACACAATCAGAAAATTAACCACTAACATGTTTTTGGTTAATCCAAATCTAAAAATTGGAGGGTACCTTTTGAGTTTTAGTTTAATACCCGTTTTATTTTGGGGGAATATTTTTTAATTGCTTATTTAAAAAAAAATTTTTTTTGAAAATTTCATAAAAACGGCATATTTTTGGAAAGAAATATCAAAAATTTCGCTTCTTAAACAAGTCGTATCTTAAACAAGTCGTGCGCCCCCCCCCCCCCCCCCCCCAACAATTATGTATTTACTAATTAATTTTTCAAATTATTAAAAAACATAAAAAATCGGTTGCTATAGCAACTGATTTTTCATAAAAATTTTATTTAAAATTAAAGAAAATTAATAAATATATTTTTAAATGTTAAGAAATGGTAAAAATTATTAGCAAGATTTATTTAAG